TAATAAACCAGGATATTTTCCATTTTTCTTGAGGAGAACAAGGGTCTTATAGATGTAATCTTAAAGTTCTTTCGGAGGTTGACGGCTCCGGGGCGTAGTTACAGGAAGTCCGAAAGAGGAGATGTTTAGTCCGGTTTTGAGTTTGGGGTGAAAATAATTCTTCAAAGTAAGATGTGACACAATCGGAAGCACGAGAGAGAAGCTTCCGTGTCCTTGAAATTGCCACTTTTATCATTTTGAGTTATCACATTTACATATCACATTTTATAATATTGTTTTGAGTCGGATTGACCTATCGAACATTTCGATAGGTCAATCCGACTCACCTCCGCTTTCTAATTTGTCTTCACTCGTTACTAACAACTTGTTAGTAACAAGTGTAACAAGATCGGAACTGAGATCGCAGGATGAGTTAACATCGTCTGTCAATTCGATCCCTATCGAAGATGGTCGATCTTAGGACTTACATCATTCTATTGTTTTAATATGAGAAGTACAGTTTTTCGGATAATTTCTTCCAAATGTGTCCTTTTATGAACATAACATTTCTATTTTTCCATTTATAGTTTTCCTTTTTTTGCAGCTTTACAAAATATTATTATTACAGTATTATTGTTTTCTACATACATACAAGAAAACAAAATTTAATTTTTTCGTGTGTTCCCGGTTCACTTCCGTAACCTCACAATTGTTTGTCAAAATATCGATATCAATACCATATCTGACTTGAGCCTGACCAAAGGTTGGCTTTGGAGTTTTCCGCATTTTCTACCTATGTCTACTGATAATACCAAAATGGGGGCCAAAAAGGTAGGGTCCTGACAAAGATGATTTTATATAGAGCAGTTAATGAAATTTTGTTTTCGAGTATCATTTACACAGATCTATATTCAGAATTAAACAAGTCCCATAACAATGGAAATATCTTTTGTTTGGAGATAGTTTATCTCCGAACAAAAGATACTTCCATTGTTATGGGAATTGTTTAATTCTGTTGTTATGTTCATTGTTATGCATCACTTCTCTAGAATCTTGAGAAAATTTTATGGAGGAGTTTTCGAGTTAAACAGATGAATTCTTCGTCGACACTGAAGATTCCAATGGCGAAGTTGATCGCGCTATTCCTATGGATGTTGACGAACATGAAACTAAAGATCTGGGGCCGTATTCTGGTCACTGTCTCTGGTCTCTCGTCTCTCACAAGCCGGTCGCTGATTGGCTAATCATTTGGATTAGCCAATCAGAGACTGTCTTGTGAGAGACGAGTGACGGTGACCAGAATATGACCCCTGGTCTAAACTATGAGTCACCAGCACAACATTGGGGTAACAAATTTGATCAAACTCAGTGAGGATGTAGTGTATCCCAATGACTGACAGTGCCAAACAGTAATGTACACTACTCAAAATTAAAGTTGAAAATTGCACAATCACTTGAGAACTTTAAAATTTCTGTTATTTATATAGAGCTCTCGTTGACTCTGTAGAGCTGTGCCAGGTTAATGATGAGGCAGTTGGTGTTTCAAATCTTGTTGGTATCAACATGATTTTTATTCATTTTTATAAAATTAAAATTTTCACTTTATTCTTGGTATTTTTGAAGTTATATTTATTTAAAATTTATTTTCAAATATTCATGTACAGGGAGGGGCAGAAAGGACAAATGTTTTTGAAATGGCTAGAACTTACCACTAGGTAGAGAGACAGATATGTGGCAGATGGTGTGAAGATAGCGAGGTCTTAGCATTCTATTTACAGTGGAAGGCATGAAACCATGGACGATTGAACATTGTGTGTTTGCACACTATTTTGTCAAGAATAACAAGTCTATCATGGCAGTTCAGTGTGAGTTTCATTATCATTCAATACCAATAGAAGCAAAGTTGTTTCCGCTCATAACACCATCCTAAATTGGGTTAAAGCACTTCGTACACTAGGTACACTAATGAACAAAAGACTTCCAAAAGATGTTGAAAAGAGTGGATGCCAACTTCCAAAAATACCTCCAGAAATGCATCACTGATAACAGACACCACATAAAAAAAGTTGTTTTCCACACTTAATTCTGTAAAATGATATTACAGGTATACCTTGACTTACGTCGTTCCCGATTATACGTCGTTTGTCAAAAAAATATATGGAAAAATAAAAGCCAAGTTTAAGTCATTTTATTCGACTTTACGTCTGTCTGCCACAAATATTGAAGTCGTAATATCACTAGAAAAGCGTTTAAAGCACATAAAATCATATTAAAATATATACATTTACAAGTATGTACTGTATTTACAGTACATGCATTTGTAAATTTAGATTACTTTTTTCTGTACTATATTAAAAACTAAAATTTGTTTGTAAGCTTAAAATAGATCCTTATTAACCATATATTATTAAAAATGCATTAATAAATAAAATA